TAGTGAGGTACCATTTCGATGTTCACTAGTGGTAGTAGTAGTAGTAGTAGTAGTAGTAGTGGTAGTGACAAAAGTAATACAATATGGTAGAGCAATTAATTCGTACATGAGTAAAAGGATATAAAAGCTATTACCCAAGTAATAGCTTTTATATCCTTTTACTCATGTACGAATTAATTGCTCTACCATATTGTATTACTTTTGTCACTACCACTACTACTACTACTACTACTACTACTACCACTAGTGAACATCGAAATGGTACCTCACTAGTATTCACCTCACTCTGAGCCTTTATATACCCTCTGTGTCCATGTATTGTTTGTAATGGCTTGATAAAGCTCCTGGAGAGCGAAACGTTGCCACAATAAATGTCACATTAGTTGCACTTGTGTCCTTTTACTTTACAAAAGAGCTCTTCAGATCATAAATTCTCCACGCATCAACACCACTCCCAGCAAAGTTATAATTCTTCCCAACAGTCAGGTTCCACTGAACGTATCAAAAGTACTTTCACAAGCTAACACCAGAGTCGCCATCGCTTCTAGCACTTCAATAAAGGATATAACCAGGACAAAATCCAAGCAATACGAACCAGTCAATGCAGGAGTTTACACTATACCTTGTGGAGGCTGTGACAAGATTTACGTAGGTGAAACAGCCAGAAACCTCGACACCCGCCTCAATGAACACATTTACGCATGTAGGAACGATAACCTGAACAACGCCTGTGTACAACACCGAAATTCCTCCAATCATCTCATGAAATTCAGAGACGCCCAATTAGTGATCAAAGAAACTAATTTCCGCAGACGCAAGTGCCTCGAATCAGCACTGATCGCTGTTTCGAATACAATTAAACAAAACAACGGCAGCTTCACCATCTCCGAAGTCTTAGCAAGAATCCTCCTGAAAACAGTAAACCCTGCCATCACATAGTCTCTCCTGTTATTACTACACAAAGCACAGAGAGTGAACACTGAACAAGCTGCCTCATTCCAGTCTATATTTGTCCAACCTATTTTTATGTTACCCAAGTAATAGCTTTTATATCCTTTTACTCATGTAAGAATTAATTGCTCTACCATATTGTATTACTTTGTCACTACCACTACCTACTACAACTACCACTAGTGAACATCGAAATGTACTTCCTAGTATTCCACCTCACTCTGATCCTATATATAACCGCTGGGTCCCTGTATTGTTTGTAATGGCTTGATAAAGCTCCTTGGAGAGCGAAACGTTGCACAAGAAAATGTCACATTAGTGTTGCACTGTGGCCTTTTACGTTACCATATGTCGTTTGTGTAATTGTGAACAGAAAAAGCAGGGGCCCAACACTGACCCCTGTGGAACACCGCTCGTGACGCTTCCCCACTCTGATTTCTCCCCATTTATGCAAACTCTCTGCTGCCTATTTGTCAACCATGCCTCTATCCAGGAAAAAAATTCTCCTATTCCATGTGCATTAATTTTCCTCAATAGTCTCTGATGTGGGACCCTGTCAAAAGCCTTACTGAAGTCCATATACGCAATATCATATTCATTACCATGATCTACCTCCTGTAAAGTAAAAGGACGCAAGTGCAACTAATGTGACATTTTATTGTGGCAACGTTTCGCTCTCCAGGAGCTTTATCAAGCCATTACAAACAATACATGGACACAGAGGGTATATAAAGGCTCAGAGTGAGGTGCAATACTAGTGTTAATTTCAACTGTTTTTCTTTCAATAACAAGCTCTACAAACAAACCTACGGCATGAGAATGGGGTCCCCCATCAGTGCCGTCCTAGCCAACTTATACATGGAACACCTAGAGTCCGAACATTTCGCCAACATCATCCCTTCAAGCGTCACTTGGTTACGTTACGTGGACGACGCCCTCGTAATAACTCCCAAACGTTTTGATGTATGGAATCTTCAGGCAAGGCTCAACGCAGTTGAACCGGCGAATCACCAGGTTGACCAACTAGAAGAAGAGTCCAATGCAAGCTACCTTTCGTCGACGTCCTCATTCACAAAGTAGACAACATCCTAAGATTTTCAGTTTATCGAAACCCACCAATAAAAATGATCTCACACACTCTATTCCAGTCAAGATATCAAGACCAAAAGAGTCATCATCATCGGTTTTTTCCTAAGAGCATACGAATTTGTAGTCTGATTTCTTGACGAGGAATGTACATACATTCACCAAACCATACCGAGTTTACATTTTTCCTTCTTTTTTCATCAAAAGACGCAAGAAAAGAGGCTCTCAGATCATTATTCTCCACGCTCAACACCAAGCCCAACAAAGTTTATAAATTCTCCCAACAGCCAGGTTGCACTGAACGTCTCAAAAGTGCTTTCACAACCTAACACCAGAGTCGCCATCGCTTCTAGCACTTCAATAAAGGATCTAACCAGGACAAAATCCAAGCACCACGAACCAGTCAATGCAGGAGTTTACACTATACCCTGTGGAGGCTCTGACAAGATTTACGTAGGTGAAACAGCCAGAAACCTCGACACCCGCCTCAATGAACACATTTACGCATGTAGGAACGATAACTTGAAAAAACGCCTGTGTACAACACCGAAATTCCACCAATCATCTCATGAAATTCAGAGACGCCCAATTAGTGATCAAAGAAACTAATTTCCGCAGACGCAAGTGCCTCGAATCAGCACTGATCGCTGTTTCGAATACAATTAAACAAAACAACGGCAGCTTCACCATCTCCGAAGTCTTAGCAAGAATCCTCCTGAAAACAGTAAACCCTGCCATCACATAGTCTCTCCTGTTATACTACACAAAGCACATTACAGAGAGTGAACACTGAAACAACCTGCCTCTTTCCAGTCTACATTTGTCCAACCTATTTTTATGTTACCCAAGTAATAGCTTTTATATCCTTTTACTCATGTACGAATTAATTGCTCTACCATATTGTATTACTTTTGTCACTACTACTACTACCACTAGTGAGCATCGAGATTGTACCTCACTAGTATTGCACCTCACTCTGAGCCTTTATATACCCTCTGTGTCCATGTATTGTTTGTAATGACTTGATAAAGCTCCTGGAGAGCGAAACGTTGCCACAATAAAATGTCACATTAGTTGCACTTGTGTCCTTTTACTTTACATATTGTCGGTAATTCTACCAACTTTTTTTACAATCTACCACCTCAAATACCTTAGTGAAAAAAGTTAATAAATTCGTAAGGCAGGAAAGCCCCTTTGTAAAACCATGCTGAGATTCGTTGATTAATTTATGCTTTTCAAGGTGGCTACGAACTGCCTCGGCAATTATTGATTCCATAAATTTTCCCACTATGGAGGTTAGGCTTATTGGCCTATAGTTCGAAGCTAAGGACCTGTCACCTGCTTTGAAAATAGGTATCACATTTGCCATTTTCCACTTATCTTGCACCATGTCAGTTTGTAGTGATATGTTGAAAATATTAGCCAAAGGTTTGCTAAATTGAACATTAAAATGGTATAAAATACCGACAGGTTGTTAGGTAAGACACATATGCAACAGTTAGGTATCTTTATTTCGAAACGTTTCGCCTACACAGTAGGCTTCTTGTAGGCGAAACGTTTCGAAATAAAGATACCTAACTGTTGCATATGTGTCTTACCTAACAACCTGTCGGTATTTTATACCATTTTAATGTTCAATTCGTCAGACACTGCAACACAAGGGTATCTTGGTACAGACCTACAATCAACTTCGACAACCTCTACTAGTGAGAACGGCTGGATTTGAGAGGGACCTGACCTCCCAGCATCTGAGTTCTTACCTCTTCTAGTGACCTACGTCTCACCTCTTGGCGCTATATAAGGCTCCATCCTGTCACTTCATCTCCATATTGTTTCATTCCATGGAACAATGCTCTTCTCCAGACTGAGGGACTGACCACCTGAAAACTTTAAGGGTGATGGACTGATTACATCGTCTTCAAGTATCTTCCGCTTCTATCAACTTTTCTGTACTCGACTGAAGAAGCCTACTGTGTAGGCGAAACGTTTCGAAATAAAGATACCTAACTGTTGCATATGTGTCTTACCTAACAACAAAGGTTTGCTAAGCTCCTCTTTACATTCCTTTAGAGCCCTTGCATACAGTTCATCAGGGCCTGGGGATTTGTTAGGTTTTAATTTATCTATTTGCCTAAGGACCATGTCACTTGTGACCCTAATCGTGCACAGTTTATTATCGTCCTGTTCTACATAATTTATCATTTCTGGAATATCGCTGGTATCCTCCTGTGTAAAAACTGAGAGGAAGTATGTGTTAAAAATTCTACACATTTCCTTATCACTGTCAGTGAGCTGACCCGAGGAACTTTTGAGTGGGCCTATCTTGTCCCTGATCTTACTTCTGTATACCTGAAAGAATCCTTTTGGGTTAGTTTTCGATTCTCTTGCAACTTTAACCTCATAATCTCTTTTTGCTTTTCTAATTCCCTTTTTTATTTCTGCCTTTAACTGAATATATCGATTTCTTAATTGCCCCTCTCCTCTTTTGATTTGCCTATATATGCCTCTCTTTTGGCCAATCAGATATTTTAATCTATTGTTCATCCATTTAGGATCATTTTTGTTTGATCTGATTTCCCTATTCGAAACATAATTTGACTGAGCAAGTATAGACCGAAAAGACTAGATTTTATTTCATTTTTACTGAGTTTTATTTCTCGACCATGGTAATGTCATTCTTTCCAGAAAATACTTAGCATTGTTTTGCATTAAGAGCATGAGGAGGAAGGAATACTCTAGTAGGCCTAATAGGTCCATGCTAGTCAAGTCCAGCTCACACCTGCTCGTTTACCTGTCCAACCTATCTAGAGTAACTCACGAAATCGTAATGACACGATTGCAAACAAACCATGCCACGGGCGTCGGTCTGGATTTTTACGACATTCTAACTGCGGGTTCATGCCCGCCCGTGGTATGGATTGTTTTATCCAGAGTAACTTTACTGACCTGCATCTTCTCCACAGGCTGGATACCACCTCTCGAGCTGACAGCGGCTTATGCAGCGAAGATAGCGAAAGAGATGACGACACGAAGACGTCTGACAGATCATCCGACCCCACTTCAGGTAATTTTCTTTTTCAAAACACTCATGTAAATATTCAGAAAAAAAGAGTGACTATTCTCAACGCTGCAGTGATCTTTTGCAGCGAAAATCTTTGTCCTTACGGTCGGCTTGTTGCATGATTTGTTAGGTTGAATGATTATTATCACCCGGTGTGACCAGCGCCTTTGACAGCTGATATTAGTCAGCCCTGAGTGTATGAGCCCCTTGTACAGAAAGCTCTTATGCTCGTCGCTCATAGATGTTCTGCAGAATCGTACCTGCTAAGATTCTGCAGAACATGAGCGACGAGCATAAGAGCTTTCTGTAGAAGGGGCTCATACACTCAGGGCTGACTAATATCAGCTGTCAAAGGCGCTGGTCACACCGGATGACAACACAAGGTGTTACACAGGGGTCTGGCTGCAGACCTGTGGTCGACACACAGCTGGGCTCAAGACCACACAGGACACATGGAAAACTGCACACACACACCTGCGGTACATGCCCGTTGTGTACTCTCTCCTATCCAATTAAAGCCAAACTAGTCCACGGCCGTATCATTGCTACTTACGCTACCTCCATCGGCACTAAACCGCTGTTCAACAGCAATAACAGCGTGCGGTCTCAATAATTTTTGTAGTAGATAGGCTTTAATCCTAATAGTATACCGAACAATTCAAAATACATATTTATATTTATGTACATGCATTGTGAATAGAAGTGTATGTAAACCAAAGAGATGTATTTCTTATATATATATTATATATATATAATAAAATATATATATATATATATATATATATATATAATATTTATATATTTATATATATATTATATATATATATATATATAATATATATATATATATATATATATATATATATATATTATAATATATATATATATATATATATATATATAATATATATATTATATATATAATATATATATATATTATAAATATATATATATATATATAATATATATGCAAAACAACCACTCTGAAAGAATAGAGAAATTCCAAGCGCTTTCGTGACTACTCACATTATCAAGGAACATTAGTTCCTTGATAATGTGAGTAGTCACGAAAGCGCTTGGAATTTCTCTATTCTTTCAGAGTGGTTGTTTTGCATATTTGAAATCACCTGTTTACTGTGATCTTATTGCATATATATATATATATATATATATATATATATATATATATATATATATATATATATATATATATATATAATATATATATATATATATATATATATATATATATATATAAATATATATATATATATAAAAATATAATGTCGTGCCGAATAGGCAGAACTTGCGATCTTGGCTTAAATAGCAACGCTCATCTTGCCATATTGGACAAGTGAAAATTTGTTTATGCAATAATTTCGCCAAAATCATTCTGAACCCAACGAAAAAAATATATTTCACTGTGTTTGTTTAGTATTAAATTACTGTAAACAAAACTAAAATATATTTAGTTGGGTTAGGTTAAAATAAATTGCGCTTGTTATAATAAGGTTAGGTAAGTTTTCTAAGTTCCTTTTGGTGCAAAATTATAAATTTTTACATCAACATTAATGAAAAAAATATATCTTTAAACGTATAAGAGAAAATTTTAGGAAGGACTTAATTTTAAATGAGTTCTTGCTAATTGACCAGTTTTACATATTCGGCACGACATATATATATATTATATATATATATATATATATATATATATATATATATATATATATATATATATATATATATTATATATATATATATATATATATCCTAGGTAGTAGGTTCGTAAACAGCAACCGCCCAGGGAGGTACTACCGTCCTACCAAGTGAGTGTACAACGAAAGCCTGTAATTGTTTTACATGATGGTAGGATTGCTGGTGTCTTTTGTCTGTCTCATAAACATGCAAGATTTCAGGTACGTCTTGCTACTTCTACTTACACTTAGGTCACACTACACATACATGTACAAGCATATATATGCATATATATTCACACATCCCTCTGGGTTTTCTTCTATTTTCTTTCTAGTTCTTGTTCTTGTTTATTTCCTCTTATCTCCATGGGGAAGTGGAACAGAATTCTTCCTCCGTAAGCCACGCGTGTTGTAAGAGGCGACTAAAATGCCGGGAGCAAGGGGCTAGTAACCCCTTCTCCTGTATATATTACTAAATTTGAAAGGAGAAACTTTCGTTTTTTTCCTTTTGGGCCACCCCGCCTCGGTGGGATACAGCTGGTACGTTGAAAGAAAGAATATATATATATATATATATATATATATATATATATATATATATATATATATATATATATATTATATATATATATATATATATATATATGTCGTGCCGAATAGGCAGAACTTGCCATCTTGGCTTAAATAGCAACGCTCATCTTGCCATAT